CTGTGGCAGGGGGAGGACTCTTTATCTGGAAACAAAAGCAGCAAAGCTATTTCCCAAGCCAGCAAGTGCTTGGTTGGAGAGTTAGACTTTCAAAGAACAATACTAATGAGAAACCCTGGCTGACTCCAGTTGCTGCCTTGCAAAAGAAGAGCGGGTGTGGCTTCCTCCAGGAAGTTCCTGCCCTGGGAACTTGCCACAACAGGAAGGAATCTTATACTCAGAAAGGCAAACAAGGAAGATTTTAGGTCTACCCCCTATGAGCAGTGTGACCCTCAGTGAGTTATTCAACCTCTTTAGCTATTTGCAAAACATGGTGCTAGTATCTGTTGGAAAACCATTCTGAAGATTAAAATTCAGTGCAAATAACACTAGTAAAGTACACACAGCACATCATACACGTTCAATACACAAGAGATAATGGAATTACTCTACCTCTTTCCACTACCCCACCCTACTCAGAATCTCCCACAGCCTGTTTGTGACTCATTATCTAAGTTTTATATTTTCTCCTTACACAGTCATTCCTTGGTATTCATGGGGAATTGGCTCTCAGACTCTGTGAATACCCAAATCTTGGATGTTTAAGTCCCTTATATGAAATGGAATAGTATTTGCATATATCTGTGTATATTTTCCCATATGCTTTCCGTTATCACTAGAATACTTACAATACCTAATGAAATGTGAATGCTATGTAAATAGTGGTTACAATGTATTGTTTATAGTGACATGAAACAAAAAGATGCACATGGCCAGTACTGACACAACCATTGCAGGCCTCGCTACAGGTTTCACCTTGAGTTGGTTGAATTCACAGATGAGGAGCTCGGGGATACAAAGGAGCAACTGCACCCCCTCTTCTTACCTCTGTCCTTTCATCTTCTCTGATTGCTCTACCCTTAGGCCAAGCTGACCCTCAAATACTAAAACCTTTTCCTCCTGTCATATGTCAAATTTTGTGCAGGCATTTAAATATCTCCTCACTCCTAATTTAAAATCCAATGACCGTAAACATTCAATATTTGAACAGCAAGTTTACAAAGGCAAAACTAACCAGTTAAAAAAAAAAAAAAACAACCTGCCAATAAACTGATTTTGGCACCTCAAATAATTACCATCTTCTTGGGACAAAGATCTCTAGGATGAAATAAATAAATAAATAAGCAAATAAGAAAATAAACAAATAAGGCTCCTCACTCCAGGAGCGATGGAATCAATCTAGAGTGTGCGCTCCAAGAAGGGACTGACTGCCTGCTTCAGTTGAAGTTTCCCATTACAAATCCTTCTCTGCCACAGGAGTTCTGGCTTTTCAAAAGACTTGCATGCCCTGAATGTACATTAGGGTCCTCAACCTCAGCCTCCCACTGAGGTCCCATCCCATAACAGCCTTGCAAAAAGGTAAGAACCGATCACTCACCATCCTGGACCCATCTTGGTGGTGTCTGCCGCGCTGGGGAAGGAATCTGAATTAGCGCTGGAACGGAGACGAGCAGGGTGAGCCCTCTGTGTCGGACTTTCCTCTGCGATGATCGACAGGCTGTACACTTTCTTTAAGAAGAGCGGTTCCTCTTTTCGCTCC